GAAATTCCATCAGTTTTCTTTCCTTCGGAGGCATAATAGGGCTAATTTGGTAAGTAGGACCTACTATCATATATTCATCATCTTTATACTTAAACTCCAGTAAAAGTTGTAATTAAAATTGTGAAATTTTATGTCCCATTTAATATTTAAGGTCAAATTTTACACTTTTTAGGTCATACTTGACTTAATTTTGGGTCGTAAGTGTATGCATATATTTGTAGTTTTTAGGTCATAAAAATGTGGGCCCTAGTAATTAGGTACCTAATAAATACTAGAGGGCAGATGTTTTGCTTGTAAAGGCTGACAATGTCAACAAAAGTTCTGCAACACGTACAGCAAATGTGTGTATATCAAATTCAAGTTCTTGCACTTCCTCACAAATTGCATGAATACTGTCACATGTCCAGGATTCCGTGACAAATAATTACTGGACTGCAGCTTTAGCTGAAACTGATTATTGGAGAATTATGCCAGGTGGAACTACAGACATTATCGCACACCATAACTGTGAACCATGATCACACTCTAATGTTCCTTGTAACTATGTCACACGAAGGCTTCTGTCAGTTCTCTTCTTTCTTCTCTCTCTCTCTCTCTCTGATCACTGATCTGATCTCCACCCTGATCTCATCTGCTTAAATCTAGTGGTTAGTCACTGGCTTCCCACCGCGGCGGCCGGGGTTCGATCGCGGGTCTGGTCAAATGGGATTTGTGGTGGACAAAGCAGTTGGGACAGGTTTTCTCCGAGTCCCCTGCCAATCTTTATTCCACCAATTGCTCCACAATCACCCTCACCTATCATCTGGTGCTGGTACAATAGGCCAGAAGTGTCCACAGTACAAGGGACAAAAACAGATGTGACGTGTCTTCTTGCATGCGGGAAATAAACATTAATATATACTCACCCCTGGTTCAGTGGCAATTGCTGTTTTTGATCCAAGACTGATGATCCTTCCATCTGATTTCATAATCAGATTCAATCCTCTTTCTCCAGGAGAACCACCTGCAAGAACATATAAGCTTCAGTTTCAGCTGACAGATTCTTCTTCTATTAAAACTTACATTATTATATATATAAATGCCCCAGGTTTATATTTGGGAAGCATCCAGTTCAAATCCTGGCTGGTACTGTCCATCATGATTAAGATTGGCATTTCTCAGTCTTTCTATGCAAATACTGAGATAGTGCCTTGAAATAGGCCATAATTCCCTCCTCCTAAATCATCCTCTCATCACACTCAATGCCGTTAACACCTCTGCATATTAAAAAGCATAATTACAAAAAAGTCAGTAAATATGTCAAAAATGGAAGTAAAAAGCTGTAATAGATATAATAGGTTTCCTATGTGTATCACTATGTAGCAGTACAGTCTAGCTTCATGACAGTCTAAGAAGCAGACAGGCATGTGCATGTTCAGAGGCTGACTTCTGTAGTCAAAAGTGGCAACCATGCTTGAAGAGTATCCTACAGCAGGGCACCATTCTGTTGTGCAATTCTCTGTGGGCAAATGATACTGATAAAGAAATGATTCCTGTATATGGTGGGAAGTGTTTGTCTTGTATAACAGTTCACAACTGGGTACAAAAATTCTCTCAAGAAGGTCCAAAAGTCACAGATGATGTCCTATCAGGCTGCCCTGTTGTGACTGCAACAGAAGCAATTGTGAAGCAGGTGGAAGAGTTGATTCAAGCTGACAAAAGGATAACGATAAACAGTCTAGCAATTATACTAGGGTATTCCACAGTTTAGCATACAGCATAATGCATGATCATGTGAAGTTCTGGAAAGTGTGCACATGGTGGATACCTAGATAACTGAAGCATTAAGAAAAAAATGAACCGAATGGGTTTATCCTTGCAACATCTCTCATGGTGTGCATATGGAGACGATACGCTCAACAGCATTGTTACTGGGGACGAATTATGTCTGCATGACTACCAACCCAAACCATAGCTTGCTTCAATACTACAGAAAAATCCCAGTTCACTTTCTCATTCAACCAAATTTTTTTTTGGTTACAAGTACACCATCAGCTGGGAAGGTTATGCTTACTGTGTTCTTGGGTTCTCAGGGAGTGCTGTTAGCCCATCGTCAGAAGCATGGTGAAGATGTAAATTCTGAATTGTAGTGTGAATTTCTGTTGAAGTTTCAGGATGCAATTCACAAAAAACTTCAAGACTGACTGGCAAGAGGGGTGCTGCTTCATCATAACAATGACAGACCTCATACAGCACTAGCAATGCAGGAGAGAATTCAAGAACTACAGTGGGAACTTCTTCAACATCCACCCACCTTAGAGGCCAGACTTGGACTTTAGTGACTTCCATTTGTTTGGTCCGATAAAGAAGCACCTTGGTGGCAAATGTTTCGATGAAGATATTGAAACAGAGGTGTAGAAGTGGCTGAGCCAACAGTCAAAAGACTTATATGCTGTGGATATCGTTGCTCTGGTAAAGTGATGGGACAAGTGTATCACTGTTGGTGGTGGATGTCAAGAAATAAATGTTTTGTCCAGGTTCAAAAATCAAGTTTTATGTTTTATATCCATTTGTTACCTATTTACTGACTCTCCCTTCCATAAATAACGTAATAATTAATTAATCAGCAGAAACTCGAGTTTAAAAACGTGTCTTGGAAACCAATGTTGAAAATGTGGTATTTTAATGAATAATTTTTAAGCAAATCATACTGTATATTTCTACTGTTGCTGTTTGTTGATGTGATTATTAGACAAATGCTATAACTACTACTGAGCTTATGTCATACAAACAAGATAAACCATATATGAAAGAGGATCAGGCGGGATGAGAAAGACGGTAGTTCCGACATGTTTCAAAGTACGAAAATTTTGTTGGATTTGTGACACAGCAGTAGATATGACAAGTATGATCTTCTGGGTTGTAATGCCATATGATTCAGAAGTGCAACAAAATTTGGAAGAATGTACCTACTTCATCAAGGTCAAGAGGTAAAACTTCCCATTTGCTTATTGCTAGTTTCTTGCTCGACTTAAGAGCAGCCGCAAACCAACTGCGTCAAGGCACGCATCAAGACACGAGACAAAAGACGCAGTCTTGCTTCATTCGTGATTTGTCAGCATGAAGCTGACGTCAGCTTCATGACTCAGACCAGTGTGCAGCGGCTGTCATAATCTCATTCGTTTCAACTGTGTTCCTTTCTTTGCGTCAAGTTGCAGACGTCATGTCCTGACTGTTACGTGTCTTGATGCATGCCAATGTGTGGCCTACTTACTCTTCAACCCTGACGATGGATGCAATACATTCCTCCAAAATGCTGTGGGCTTCTACCAAACTACATAGCATTACAACCCAGATCATAATCTTTATAAAAATCCTGTATGCCAGGGAAACCAGTATGCAGATGTGGTAAAGACTGCATGTGCTACAATTATATCTGACTGCTGGAATTACTTGCTCTGAAGGCTGCCACAGCCATCAATCCACAATCAGACAATCCACTCATGGCTAGACAAAAGTAACTTGTATGTTTTAATAATACTGCGAAAAGATCTGCATTGGCAACAAAAGGAAATCAGAGCTCATGATTCGGTCAGTCGGTCGGTTTCGTTATTGGAGAGGGTGGGTTTCCCCATGCACTTAGACCAGTATTGGTCCATTGTGCTTCCCTCTATGATATTCTACCAGTCTCTATACCCTACCGATATTGGTGCGTGCCATCAGTCCCGACCGAGCCAGTGAGTTCGGCCTCTACTGGCTTGGCAGTATCTATAATGCTTCCCTAATCTATCAGAGGCGTTAGAGATTACTGTTGGGCGGGAAATGTCCTTGAATTTGGCTCAGTGACCTCCATTGGAGATATGAGGTCCTTTTACGTGCTCTAAAGCTAAGACATGGGACCCACGGCTTGAAGTACCTCCCGGAGGACTTGTTCCCTGAATTTTTCCGCCCTTAAAAATTCCACGACCTCCGCCGGGTTTGAACCCGCATACCACGAGTCATGAGGTGGGAACGTTACCTCTAGACTACAGAGGCCGCTAGCTCATGAGGTAAGTAAGATCACAAAGAACATAAATGGAAAATATGTATACCCCCAACTGGAGTACACTTCATGCTACTATATTCATCATCATCATCATCAGTAATCTGTCAAGACGACAGGTCCACAGTCTCTTTCAAAACAATTCCTCCACTTAATGCGATCTAGAGCTTTCTCCTTCAAATGACAGTATCCTCTTCTGTCCCCAAGGTCATCCAGCATCTTCTTACGTCTTCTTC